GGCCCCTGATCTGCCTGCCAGATGAAAGAAGCTGGGTGCTGCCACCTGGGACCATCACCAGGAAAATCACTGCTGCTGCCAGTCCCAGGTGGCAGCACCAGCTCCTCTCATCCAGCAGGCAGATTGGGGGCTCTCCCACACCCTGGGGAGGGCTTCAGGGGCTGTGCTGGAGTCCTTCTGGGGGTGCAGGCCCCTGATCTGCCAGCCACATGACAGACTGGCACTGGGCACAGCCTGGACCCGGGGCTGGGAAGATCAGAACTGCTGCTGGCCCCAGGCAACAGCACCCAGCTCCTGTCATCTGGCAGGCAGATGCACCCCTGGGAGGACTCCGGCACAGCCTCTGCAGCCCTCCCCAGGGTGCCAGCAGGCCCCTGATCTGTCTGCTGGCGTGCACAGGATTGGGACAGGGGCAGGTTCCAGCACTAGCTGATTTGCCCTGGGCCCTGCACCCCTGACCCAAAGAGGGTGTAGGACCCAAGGCAAATCAGTTTGTACAGGGACCTTCCCCCACCCTGATTCTGCGTGCCCTGGATGCAAAGAACCTGCCACTGCCACCATCAGCAGTGGTGGCGGTGGCAGGGTGAGGGTAATGAGCGGCCAGACGCGAAACCACCAGTGGCTCAGAGTCACCATGGTCACTCTATCTGGCTCTGCAGGGCCCCCCAAAGTGCGGGACCCAGGACAGCCACCTCAGTTCACCCCCCAACCCCCCCAGCATGGCCCTGGCTGCTGCTGACCCCAGGCAGCAGTACCTGGCTCCTGTCAGCTGGCAGGCAGATCAGGGGCCTGCCGGCACCCCCAGGAGGCCTGTGGGGGCTGTGCCAGAGTCCTCCTGGGGGTGCATGCCCCTGATCTGCCTGCCAGGTGCTGCTGCCTGGGGTCAGTGGCAGCACCAATCTTCCTGGCGCTGGGTGTGGGTTGTGCCCAGTGCTGGTCTGTCATCTGGCAGGCAGATCGGAGGCCCGCACCCCCGGGAGGACTCTGGCACAGCTCCCACAGCCCTCCCAGGGGTGCGGGCGAGCCCTTGATCTGCCTGCTGGATGACAGGAGGAGGGCGCTACCGGCCAGGATGGGACCTAAAGCTAGTAAGCCTGGCTTTGAAACATTTCAAAACTTTTGAAATGTTTTGAATTCCCTTGTTTTGTTTCGAAGCTGTTCCAAAGGCTTTTGTTTCATTTCGATTTCACTGTTTCAAGCTCGAAATGCATCGAAACAGCTTCTAAACAAAACGCTGTGTGAAATTTCACACAGCCCCACCATGCATATATATTAATTTGGTCCTTCTGGGTCTTCTCATAATTTGGTCTGCTCCCCCAAAACCAGGACTCAGGCCCCCTGCTCTGGGGCCTTGTTAGCTGGTACCACTTTATCTAGTATTATGAGCAGTATGGTGCATACTCCCTCAGTTCCGACATTGTTTTATATCCATTGGCCTTGTTGTGTTAACCAGCCTGTCTGCCTTGCAAGCTGGAGAAACTCTGTTTGTGTGAGACCCTGGCTTCTTAAAAATCAATTAACTCCTGCTGCCCATCTTAAACCATTCTGATGCACATAAGCCAATTCCCTAAAACCGAATCTTTAAATACCATTTTCTAAATCAACACTGTGGAAGCCCTAGATCTTCAGTAGCAAGCCTGTTCTCCAAACCAGTTGTTTGCAGCCAACTACAGTAGGGTATAAGTGTAACCCAGGTGGTACTCCAAGAGGTACCCCCTCTCCAATTGAAGGGATCAAAGCAGGTGCACAAGCACTGTGGGAGGTGTAGGGCCTCTCCTCCCCCTATAGATCAGAGTCAGACCACCAATGGGGACTTAACCATATACCTTTTAATGAGGGAACAATACTGGTAACATAACAGGCATAAATCAGAGGGTATAGTGGACACTACAATGCCCCAAGGGGGCAGGATTCAACAAAGGTTAGACACTTACAATCATTGGCAAAAAACAGGGTTAACAAAATATAAAACACAAACAGCAAAGCAAACAATACTGGTTGGTGAAATATAAAAAGGCACAAAATACAAAATGTCAAGGAAATATAGGGCCTTGGTACCTGGAGGGGGAGGGAACACAATGGCCCCTTTCCACTGCAGGAAGATTTGCTTCTTGTTAGCTCACTCACCCCAAGTCACTCCAGCTGGGACTCAAATGCAGATCTTCTATGTGGTAGGTAGGAACACTGCCACACAGCCACCGGCACGGGTGCTGCTCTCAGCCTGCTAGGGGTCTTGACCTTCCCAGAGCCCCGGCCTCAGTCGAGCTGCCTAGCCTCTGATTGGAGGAGCTGGAAGCAGAGCTGGGAACCTCTCACATCACTGCTCAGATCCTTGCTGGAGCGGGGGAGCCTCTCCTGCTAGCTGCAGCCTCTCGTAGAGGATCCTGGAGCCCAGCAAGGAGCCTCTCCTGCTGGCTGCACACTGCACTGCTGAGGGTCCCACTGCTGCCTGCAGGTCCTGCTTCTTCAGGCTCTTCTGGGGCAACTGCTCCTGCCCCGCTGGTTCAGCTCTTGCCAGCTCTGTGAAGCTCCTTCCTTGTGGTCCTTCGCTGGTCTCTCCTTAGTCAACCACACTGCCCCTTTTATCCCCCTCCAGGTGACCCAAGGGGCCAATCAGGGGACACGGAGGGTGAGTCTCTGGGGCCTGATTGGTGAGGAAAGGGAATCCCAAGTCCTCCAATCAGCTTTTACCCCTTCAAACCTCTGGGCCAAATCATTACCAGATTGGTGAGGAAAGGGAATCCCAAGTCCTCCAATCGTCTTTTGCCCTTTCAAAACCCCTGGGCTAAGTCACTGCCAGCTAGCCCGTCACATCAGTCAGGGAAAGTTTACTAAGACACAGGCAAAATCAGAGTCCTGGCATTAGATCTATTCACGTCAACCACCCATTTTATAGGTTGGTTTGATGCTGTGCTTTATTTGATGCCTAACTGGTTTTTTATGTTTCCTTGTTTGGGGATTTTCATAAGGGTCAGTGTTGGTTTCCTTGCCATTTTCTCCTCCTAACAGAAACAATTCACAAAGTCTCAAATAATGGCCAACTACCCACAGTTTCTATCAGGAATTTAAATCTACATGTGGGAACCTAACTCTGGGCATAAGCATTTGGTAACGTCAGCCTGAACATTTAATGTGGTACCCAGGGATCCACTGGTGAAAGATGCTGTAAAAGTGCTAAGTATAATTTATCAGTCTTTACTAACAGAGGTCATTTAGTAAGGATGCAAACCTCTGTCTTCCCTGAGAGATCATGTTCACTTTTTCTGCACTGATTTTCTCATTCCCATATGCAGAATTTTGCTAGGAGGACTGGGTGGATGCACATATAGTAAGTGAACTTAAAATAAGGTGACTTAACTAAGTCAACTTAATTAAGATGACGTAAGTTAAGCTATATCAGAGCATACACACATACAGCTCCTTGACATGGTGGCAGCTAGGCCTGTGCAAAGTGGCTAGTATTCACTTCAGATTCAGATTCAGCCGATTCGGGGGACAGTGATTTGATTACGTGATTCAAATCACTGTCCCAAATTGATTCAGCTGAATCTGTCACAAGCCCCCAGCCCCCGCCCACTCTCCCAGCCCCAGCTCCTGGCTCTTTAAAAAAAAAAAAAAAAAAAGCCCCCATTCACCGGCTGCTGCCAGGTGGGGGGGTGATCCTCACTGCCCTCCACTGCCCCCCACCGCCCGCCGCACTGCTCCCAGAAGCCCCAAAGCCGCTGCAGCAGCTGGTGAGTGTGGGGCTTTTTTTCTCTGTTTTTTTTTTTTAAGAGCCAGGAGCTGCGGCGAGCGAGGCAGCAATGAGGGGGTGCTGGAAGAGCAGGCAGGGGTCGGGGGGCTCGTGGCAGAGCCCCTCATGCAGCGTGGAACAGTGAGGGGCAGCGGGGATTGCCCCCCTGCCTGGCAGCAGCCAGTGAGTGGGGGCTTTTTTTAAAGAGCCATGAGCTGGGGCCAGGTGGGGCAGCCATGGGGGGAGCAGGTGGGAGTTGCAGAGCACTCAGGGGGGCTGGGAGAGTGGGCAGGGGATGGGGCCTGGCAGGGGACCCCCTTGGTCCCTCCTCCAGCCCCCCCTCCCCTGCTCCCTACTTACGAGCATGGAGTCTGGGTCCAGCTCCCTGCAGCAGCAAGTAGGGATTGCCCAAATTTCTGAAGCTGTCCAAATCTTTTCTGAATTGATGCAGAGAGCTTCAAATCGATTCAGACCTTTTAATTGGTCTCCTGATCTGATTCAGATCTGGAGATTCAGCCGCTGAATCGAGCCGAATCTCCTCCGCATCGAATCAGCACCTGAAGCTTCACACAGCTCTAGTGGCAACCATCTTGTGATCTAAGTCAACTTAACAAATGCAACTAAAGATAGTACATCTCAGAGGTGTATTATCTTGTGCCACATTTAAATTGACTCTGTTCCACATACTTGTGTACACTCTGACAGTTAAGTCAACTTAAAAAAGTTAAGTCAGCTTAACTGTCAGAAAGTTAGTACGTATGTACACACCCAGTAGTGTTAGGTTTTTTTGGCTACAGAAGTATAACTGTGCTACTCCCTCACTTCCCTTCTCGAAGGAAAAGGAATTTTGTCTTCATTACAGTGAGGTTCACCTAAATGAAATGACCAGATTATCAAGAGCTCAGGAACTCTCAATTTTCCTACTGGGAATTGCTGGGTAGTGATATGTATGTAAATCCAAATGCTCAATTTAGGTGCCAGAATGGGAGCAGAGCTTTTATGCAAATTCTCATCTGTGTTTCCAAATCTTCCTTTATTTCTCACCCTCATTCACATGCTGTGCGCCTAAAGCCTTCAGATTCCTGGTTGGTTGAAAGGTGAGCTGCCTGGGAATTGTAATGCAACATAGTTGTTACTGCTATTGTACTAAAATGAAAATGTGATACAAGTAACACAGTCTTTTTTCACCACTCATGACCATTTACATTTAACAGAGCAATATAGCTCAGAGCAATTCTAATGGCCTGCTTTCTCTTTCTCTGCACAGTTCTTCTGGGTCCTCCTGGTGATCTTCATCACTGAAATTCTGTTGATATTTATTGAAATAATCTTCGAAAACAAGGTGAGTCAACTGAACTCCTTTCCTTGGCAGTGCAAATCATATTTGTCCTGTTTTCCAAAGCAAATGCCTGTTCCACTAACTAGTGATTTTTGGTGGCTCACTCAAGGTGCTGAAAATATCAAAACATTTTGTCTTGTCATTTTCCAAACATCTAACATTTTCCCTGTTGAGATGCCTGTCCATTTTGATATTATCTAAAACAGAAATAATTTCATCTTGACCCCAAATTAAAAAGTTTTGGAGGACAGGTTTGCTGCTCTTGCAGTTGTTTCAAGAAATGCCCATGGCCTGAAAAATCCATCTCTATGTCTCATCTTGGGAACTAATGTCCTGAACATTAATGCTGAGATTTTCAAAGAGATACTTTGGGGTTTGGATGCCCAGTGCTCATTAGTTTTAATAGAAACTGAACATTCAAATCCCTTATGCAGCTTTGTAAATGTTCTTCTAAAAATTCAAGGGAACTTTCTGTGAAGATAGCAGCTTTTGCACTACAGCGCTTTGTCAACTCGTGAAAGTCTAGTTACACCAGTGCCACAATGTTATCTGCATTTTTTTTATTATGAAGTGCCCTGGCTTGGGGATTTCCTGCATAAAAATACTTAACACATTGTTTTAGATGTTTTCTTTTGTAACTAGCTTCGGTAGAAGATTTTATGTTAATAAATTTCACATTGGAGCCTAATTACATGTTTTTAATATGAATTAAATAAACATTGGAGAAACTATGTTCCCTTCTCCCTCCCTTGTACAGAGCTCTCTGACTTTCCCTGCTGCTTTGTACAGAAGTTTTAACAGCATTCACGAAACAGCAAAGGGCCCAGGGACACCAAACATGTCCCTCTAAGTGGTGACTTTAAAACAAGCAAGAGGGTTAAGTTCAGGAGCTTGGTGTTACAAGATAGAACATGCAAGCTTTTCCAAGTTTACAGCTGCACTCACTTATCACAAGAGCGGGATTGAAATTCACTCCTAGTTTCCTAATTTTCCAGAGTCAAAATAAAATAAAGACTAGAGGTGTGCGAAACGGGCCATATTTGATTCAGATTTGGATTCGGCTCAAATTGGAGCCAGTGATTCAATTCATTGATTCGGATCACTGTCCCCAGTTCAACTTGGCCAAATCTGAATCTGAAGATTTGATGCTGATTCAGAGAATCAGCAATTTGGCCATAAACACGGCTTTAAATGTTTTTTCTATATACCTCAAGGTACCAGGTGTGGCTTGTGAATGCTGGGATGGTGGGGCAGATGGAGCGTCCCACAGGAGTGCTGTGTCTCTATCCAAATCATCAGATCTTTCCAAATCTCTCTGGATCAATTCAATTTGGAGAGATTAAAGGGTCTCTTGATTTGATTCAGAGATTGGGCTGAATCTCTGCCGAATCGAATCAAAGACTGAAGCTTCGCACAGTCCTAATAAAGACCACTGGCAAATCTGTCTTTTTTTAGCTTTCTCTTAAAGAGACATAAAATATGCCAGATGGAGACAAACAGTTGTTCCATCATATCCAGTGTCCTACCCTTTGTGGCAGGAAGCCACCTTTGTTTCTCCCCAAAATCTCTGTGCTGTGACTATTTGATTAGGATGAGCCCAGCAGAGGAGACACACCCTTACCCTATCTTTTTAGGTAACCTGAGCTGGCTACATTCCTGAGGGAGGGGGGAAACCTGCTCCTTCTGCCTACGGGACTGGTATCAGCTACCTGGGTGAGGGGCTTCTACCTGGTGGGCTAGAGTCTGCCTGACAACTAGTGATGTATTTCAAATTGGTTGGCCAACAGCCAACCAGAGCTGGCCTCCACTGGACCAGGCGAATGAGGTCACAGGGGCTATATAAGTTAAGACTGTCCAGGAGGAGGGGGCAGCAGCCATGCAGGGGACTCAGACAGAGAGGAGATTTACCATCTGAAACTGGCTCTCTCTTCCAAAACTCATGAGCTAGGAACGGCTTGTCTCCAGAGGGAATCTCCAACAGCCTCTGGATGATGCTTGTGAGTAAGCTACTTGAGATCTGGTTAGATATCTAGCTGGCAGTACCTCAGATGTGTGATCAAAAGGCTACTTCAGCCAGACTGTTTTGCTCTATGGGATTTCTATGAGACTGCTCAATCTTGTACCCTATTTTCACCCTACCCCTGTAATCAATAAAGTTCTCCTTTGTGACCGGTGTAGGAGACTTATTGAGGGGTGGGTCTAAATTATGCCTAAGAGGCCCCTTAGGTCTGCGGACTAAGGGAGACTTTCCTTTTTGACTGTCGACTTGGGGAAGTGCCCCAAGTGCCTGTACTGGGTTGAGTACCCGTAGGACTATTAGGCCTGTGTTTCCCTGAGAACACAGGGCCGAGAGAGTCCCTTCTCGGGGTGGTAGCAGCTTACGTTACCCCCAGGCTAGCGTGTGTGCTTCAGGAAGGGGGTCAGCCGGACGCGAGGCATCCCAGGGAGGCACTCGGAGCCTAGAAGGTGGTCGGGTGCAGGGCGGTGGGCGGCTCAACGCAGGAGCACCCCCTACTGGCCCGCCTCACCCTTCATTCGTACGAGGTTCTGCACTGGTTCTGTGAAACCCAATTTCTTCCTGATTCCACTAAAGGATCAGCACATGCCCCTGAAGCATGAGGATTAATGGTTTTGTTTTGGGTTTTTTTGTCATTTTTACCCTTGCTAGATAGTGTACTTTTTTATGTGCTGTAGGATGAATTACACCCACTCAAAGTCCTTTGGCAGCCTCCTTAAAGAAGTAGGTTTTTCCCACTTTCTTTGGCATTTGCTAAACTCATTGCCTTTAACTCATGTTAAATGCTTTTTTTAAATTTGTGCATGAGGTGCTTCAATATTGCTATAATAAGCATTGGGGAAACACTTTAAAAATGCTTACAATAGAAGTTCCCTTCTGCCTCTCCCCAGACTAAGCTGAAACCAACTTTGTTATTTTCCATATTATCTTGACTTTGCAGTCTGCCAAATTACTTCAAGGCCTAGCCTCAGTCTGTGCTGGCTCAGACAATGCATGGTACAGAAGAATGATCTCTAAGATGCACACTTAAGGGCTTTATTAAAATCGATTCTCTTTGTACAAACAATTTATAACTCTTCCAGTCCTGTAAATGCTTGTGTTGGGGAGGATGTTTTTAAAGATTACACTACCTGCTTGGTGACCTCAAAGCCTAAAGCCAAATCAAAAACTCATGGGGCTGAGTGTCTCATCATGATGAGTTATAGGAATCATAGCAAAGTAGGGTTGGAAGGGACCTCACAAGGTCATCTAGGCCAGCCCCTTGCTCAAGACAGGACTGTCCCTGACTAAACCATCCCAGCCACGTGTCTGTCCAACCTGCTCTTGAAATTTCCACTGATGAAGACTCCAGTTTTCCAAGGCAGCTTGTTCCAATGCTTAAGCACCCTGAGAGTCAAAAAATGCCTCCTAATCTCCAGCCTAAATTTTGTTCGCTGCAGCCTGAGACAATTTCTCCTAATCCAGGTCCCTATGGTCACAGAGAAAAACCCATTTCCTTCTTGCTAATTGCCCTTCAGGTATTTTCCAGGCTAAAAAACTCAAGTTTTTTTCAGCCTTTCCTCATAAGTCATGTTTTCCAGCTCCATAATCATTTTTGTTACTCTACACTGGGCTCTTTCCAATGTGTCCACATCCTTCTTGAAGTGTGGGACCCAAAACTGGACACAGCACTCCAGGTGAGGTATCACCAATGTTGAGTAGAGCAAAAGAATCACTTTGCTTGATTTGCAAGTAGCACTTCTTTTAATAGAGCCCAGGATGCTGTTGGCTTTTTGGCAACGAGCACAGTCTTGGCTTATAGGAGCCAACAGTGGTCAAAGAAGTTTTGCACAAGCTCCCTGTAGAGACAAGTCCAAGTGACTACTTGTTGCATTATAGGAATTTCAAGAGCCAATTCTCCTGAACCATCATGAGGGATGGATTTGGCCATGATATTGTAGACATGCTTGCTGAGTTCCAGGAAGCTGGAGATGGAGGACAGGGCTCCTCATTGCAATGCAACCCTTTTACATCTTTGGGAGTGGTCATAATATGTTTCTGCTGGTCACAACGCAGTAGAGAGAGCTCTGACTTGTTAGCTTTTGCGCTTAGTGGTGTCTGGCTTTGTGGGGCTGTGCAAGGTACAGGGCAGCAAGGGAGCAGGGCCTTCACCGTGACTCCAAAAGTTAGTTGTTGGTGATGGTTCCTAGCCCATTCCTTAGCAGAGATCATCCTCTGCCTCATGTAGCCCCTTTGGCATCAGATTCTGTTGAGAGGCGAAGGACAGCATGTGTCACAGGGAATGAGCTCCCTTCTCAGCTGTGCTGTGTTTATCTGTGCTATAAATAAATACCACAGACCTCAGTCTCCAGGGCTGCCCAGCTAATATTGTTCACCAGCGCTAACTTCATTTTGAAGAGAGTGGGGAGACAGAGAGAGAGACAGACTTCTATCTGCAAGGCATCACCGAGGTTCCTTGTTTCTCTGGCAGCTTTATGTCACGCTATTAATATCTAAGATAGGCTAATATGGAGGTTCCTTTTGTTTATTTGTTTTTGACTTGCCATGTACCAGGTATTGGCAATAACTTTCTGCAGAGATAGGACCCTTTTGTTACTGTCTGTTCTATTACTATATATGGTACCAGGCTGTTTGTGTGTTGACATTGTGTGTCTACTGCTATATTTTCATGAACAGCTGCATTGCCCTGACCTATGAATTCTTACCGAGATGAAGACTAGTATCTCCTATGTGCTCTGTGTCTCAATTTGTGGACCATCCTTGCTCTTGCCTCGTGAGCAATGGAAGGGAATGAACAGAGAAAAAGTTGCAAAATTCTTTTGGAATGGAATTGCAACCTTTCAGTTAAGCATGCAGCTTGGATGCAACCGTTAGTGTGTAAGTGATGCCTTAATTTAAATTTAATGGGGGATACTAACATTTAATTAAAACCAAGCCATTGGTAAGACAGAACAGGGATTAGACAAGCAATGAATCTACTTGACCG